ACTCGATCTATCCTACAACAACTTGTCCGGCCACATTCCCTCCACGGTCAACCATTTGACCCATCTTCTCACTCTCCGGCTCGAGGTTAATCGGTTCGCAGGTTCGATTTCCGGCTTGAACCTCCCGAATCTGCAGGATTTTAATGTGTCTGCAAACCGTTTGACCGGCGAAATACCGAAGTCCTTTTCAGGTTTTCCCGAATCCGCTTTCGCTCAAAACCCGGGACTATGCGGGTCTCCGGTGCTGAACTGCAAGGGTCTAGTGAACAACCCGACTCGGCCAGGATTTGATGGAGCTATCGCTTCTCCTGTAATGCCGGCTGCTAATCCAACAGTAGTAGCATCGTCTCCGAGTTCACTGCCGGGAAACTCAACGCCGAACAAATCGACAAATACTCGCCGCAATGGAACATCGAAAATAAGTCCAGAGGCTCTCATCGCGATTATAGTCGGCGACGCATTGGTTCTTGTTTTTGTTTCACTGCTCCTATACTGCTATTTTTTGCGGAACTTCAGCCCCAAAATGCGGCAGGGCAAGAGCAGCTCGAAGCTTCTAGAAAGCGAGAAGATAGTATACTCTTCAAGCCCGTACTCGGCCCAACCTGGGATCGAGCGGGGTCAGATGGTGTTTTTCGAGGGGGTGAAGCGGTTCGAGCTCGAGGACTTGCTCAGAGCCTCGGCGGAGATGTTGGGTAAAGGCGGGTTCGGAACGGCATACAAGGCGGTTCTGGACGACGGCAATGTGGTGGCGGTAAAGAGGCTCAAGGATGCGCAGATTAGTGGGAAGCGAGAGTTCGAGCAGCACATGGCGGTGTTGGGGCGGCTCAGCCATCCCAATATTGTTAGTTTGAGAGCTTATTATTTTGCCAGGGAGGAGAAGTTGCTGGTCTACGATTACATGTCGAATGGTAGCTTATTTTGGCTGCTTCACGGTAAGTTGATTTAGTTTTCTTGTTAAATTTCTGTTTAATTGACATTAAAATGTTAAGGTTTTTGTTAAGTGTTTTAGAATTATATGGGTTAATTTGTTGGGGGTTTTGAATGAGCTATGGATGAGTGTATGGTATGAGCGTAAAGTAGGTCAAAGGTGTTTGACTCTGTTTGGTGGAGCTGAGGAGCGCGAGGGTTTAAGATATCAAGGAGGGAGGTGAGGCCTCTAATGGCTGCTTTAGCACCTTTGCCGTTCATTATCATTACAGACAAGTGAACAGTTACCCATGAGGACAGAAAATGAACTTTAATTGCGATTTGGGAATTGGGATTTAAGCCCTCTGCCCTCTGCCCTCTGCCCTCTGCCCTCCCTCTTGTATAGTCTGTCCACTGCTCTCCAGTCTTGTCTTTATTTTCCTTTACTTTTATCCTTTTTGTTTTCTCTGATTCTTGCTCCCTACTTTTCCTTCTTTCCGGCCTAACTATGACCAAAAAGCGACCTACTCTAAATCACTTTTATGCTTTATTTATTTAGACCAAACTCATAGATCCATAATCTCTGAGTAATTGTAATTATCATCAACTTATGAGGGTTAATTTGAACAGGAAACCGGGGCCCCGGTCGAACCCCACTGGACTGGACCACGAGGCTGAAAATCGCAGCGGGAGCGGCTCGAGGCCTAGCTTGTATTCACAACTCGTGCAGTCCGCTTAAGCTCACCCACGGTAACATCAAATCCACCAACATCCTATTAGACAAGGCCGGCAATGCTCGTGTCTCTGACTTCGGACTCTCCGTGTTTGTACCTCCTCCCCCAGCCACGTCATCCGCTCCACGATCCTGCGGCTACCGCGCTCCCGAGACGTTGGACGGTCGAAAATTAACTCAAAAATCCGATGTGTACGCTTTCGGTGTGCTTCTGCTGGAGCTGCTCACAGGGAAGTGCCCCTCCGTCGTGGACAGTGGTGGGCCTGGGGGTGGTTATGGTGGGCTTGTGGACCTGCCCAGGTGGGTCCAGTCTGTGGTCAGAGAGGAATGGACGGCGGAGGTGTTTGACCTTGAGCTGATGAGGTACAAGGATATAGAGGAGGAGATGGTGGGGCTTCTGCAGATCGCGATGGCTTGCACCGCCGCTTCGCCTGATCAACGGCCCAGGATGAGCCAGGTGGTGAAAATGATCGACGAGATTCAGGGTGTGGTGGGCTCCCCGAGTCATGAGGCCTTTGACTCCATGTCCGAGTCGCCTTCCTTGTCGGAGGACACTTGCGGCGCGAGCCAGTAACGGTTTACAACCATATTATTAACAGTCTTCTATTGTAAATCACGGGTTTCGTTTTGTGGGTTTCGATTCTCCTGCTTTGCTTATTTTATTTTCATTTTCGTTTCTGCTAATTACATGGCTTGCGAACCATTTTTTTAACACAGAGTTTGATTCTCGGCAACTGGTACTTGACTTTTAACTAGAGTAGGATCTTGTTTAACTAATCTTAATTATATTCAATGTACCATGAAACTGACAACCGTAATTTTCGAGACTCGAAACAAGAGGAAATATGAAGCTATGTGTTGCTGAAGTGCATGATGTTTGGTGCAATTCTCAGGAGGCTATCCAATGTTGTAGGCGGGAACTTCCTGGCGAATAGAAAACAGACATCTGTGCTCCTTCCATTATGTTCACATCTCCGACCATAACCATTTCTCAGGCTATTCAAAAGCTCAAATGTGACATTTGTGCTCGTGTACTCGGTAGGGTGCGCGCCACCCTTGGTCCAGTCAGCCCAGGTCAAAGACCTGTATGCACTGTTTGCTGCAAATTTCATGCACACAAATGTTGGCAAATAATGTTATTCTGCAAAGTATTCGCCTTTGCATCTGAGGAAAAGTGGGAAGTATATTCGATCGGAGACAACTTCAATGGCAAGGTCTCTATCAATTTCAAGCCACTGTGACCCTTTGCTCCATTGATCCAATGTGATTCCTGGGTAGTCAATGAAATAATATCGGCCACGTCCGTCTACGCCTGGATCGTCATAAACCTCCACGAAAGTTTCGTTGGAGTGTATGAGGTAAGAGTAGACAGTGGAGAAGTTGTAGAGGGGGATGCATGATTCTGAGAGCAGAACAAAACGTTGGTTTGCGATGTCAAGAAGAGCATTCGCCAACAGGCGGCGCTCAGCCTCAATCTGGCTCACCCTTCCCCATTCCCCTGCAATCAATATTATTACATGATGATGTATAACATCATAGTTGTAAGTGTTGTCTAAAAAGGGCAGGCATCCTCTTAAACCAATTTATTGTTACAGCTTTGGAGCTTTTTAACTTGTCCCTTTCAAAACCTCAGTATTTTGAATTTGAAGTCTAAAAAATCACAAAAGCATAACAAACTTATGCAGAGAACGAAAAATAAGCAAAACAAACTGACCCGACTAGGAATTCTCCGGCCATGAAAAACTGGACTTTCCGGGTGTGATGATGCATTGTAGGATGGCTTTGAGTGCACATAGAATGAGTACAAGCCTCTATGCCCTTTGAAGAACTTCTCCCATAACGGGCCAAAACAACAGGTCCCCTTGTCATGAACATGAAAGCAACCTTGGGAACTCGATGGAATGGATATTCAGGAATCCTAGGAGTATGGAAGCTCTCCATAGCAACTCTGTATCATTCATGTTGTGAAAAACCTTTGGCGGCTTTATGTATTCCTTTAATCCTCGTATGTGAGGTTGGGCTGTGTGGCTCATATTGGAAGTTGAGGAATTGGGTGGAGATGGCATACCTGAGAAGGGGAATTGGGCTAATTGTTGACTAAATGAAAAGTCTGTGAAATAGGTAAGTATAATTCCAAGGGTTAAAGTTCCGTAGACAAAGAGCAGGAAATAAGAAAGGAGATTGAGGAGGTGGAGATTGAAGAGTTTTGGAAACAAATTTGCTGGTTGTTGATCTTGATCCTTCATTTTACACAACAGAGATTAGACTTTGAGAGGGTGGCTGGCTGCTGAAGTTTGTCTTGCATTTACCTTACCCTCAATATGACTGCACTTGGGTTTTCAATTCATCCATGGGGTGGGGTGGGTGACTGAAAATCGAGGCAGAAGCGGCCCGGGGGCAGGGGGCCTAGCTAGCAATATTCAGAATCACAGCCAATGACTGGCACGTCCCCTTTCACAAGAAGCCAAGTGGTGAGGAGCGGAGGTTGGTGGTGTGGTGTGTCCGTGTTTTATGAGGAGGCCTTCGAGACGGCTTCCTTGTCCAAGTGAGATGGTACCAAACCTTTTTGATTGTCTTTCAGTCTTGTGTTGTAAATGATGGATTTTGTTTCTGTTGTTGCGTTGGGGCTTTTGATTGTGTTGCTTGATTTAGATTTTTGAATTTCCATGTTTAATTACAAGGATTGTGAACATTTTTATAAGGGTGATTGATTCACCAGGTCCTTGTTTGCAATTAGCTAGCTTATGACATTATTATTGGATGCTTGTATTTTTTATTCAATATGAAATCCACACAAATTCCCTTTTTCTTTTATTTTTATGTCACAACATTTCTAGAGTTTATTATTTTTATGACCTCTACATGGTTACAGAATATACTAGTAAGATTCTATAATGTTCAATTGTTAGATCTTGGCCGAATACTAACTAGTCTAGAAAGATGAGACAGATTTGATCATAAAATTATACTTTAAACATTGCTTTATTTGATTTCTTAAATCCATAATTAATATCGAGATCTTTAAATATAGAGGTTCGGGATTTCTCATTCTCCAAAGTCGCCTTGCGTTCTAAACCCATAAACTTTGTTTTTGTCTCGTTGTTGGATTTCGATTATCTTCCTTTTGTGTTGTTAAATTATTATATTTCCTTTCTGCTAATTAAAAACTTTACTTGGCCAAAGAAATTAGATTATAGTAGCCAACAAGCTTACGCAATGAAAAGCCCAAAATGAAGCATATAATTCGATGCCTATATAATAATCAAGAAAATTGATCATGTACCATGAAAGTTAAAAGATGCCTTTTAATTTCCCAACGTTACAAACAAAAGACACGTAACACTATATAAATCTGTTTTGCTAATTTCTAATGTTTTTTCTTTTTCTTTTTCTTAAGGAGCAACATGGTTGAAGTGCATGATCTTTGGAGCAATTCTCAGCAGGCTGTCCAAAGCAGAAGGCGGGAACTTCCTCGCGAATAAGAAACAAACATGTGTGCTCCTTCCATTATATTCACATCTCCGACCATAACCAGTCCTCAGGCCATTCAGAAGCTCAACTGTGACAGTCGAGCTCATGTACTCAGTAGGGTGCGGGCCGCTCTTAGCCCAGTCAACCCAAGTCAAAGTCCTGTTTGCATTCTTTGCTCCAAATTTGATGTTCACAAACGTTGGCAAATAATGTTCATCTGCAAAACATTCGCCTCTGCATCTGAAGTAAACTGGGAAGTATTTTCGATCCGAGACAACTTCAATGGCAAGGTCTCTGTCAATTTCAAACCACTGTGACCCCTTCCTCCATTGGTCCACTGAGATTCCTGGGTACTGAACAAAATAATATCGGCCACGTCCAACTGCGCTTGGATCATCATAGACCTCCACGAAAGTTTCTTTGGAGTTTATGAGGTAAGAGTAGACAGTGGAGAAGTTGTAGAGAGGGATGCATGCTTCTGAGAGCAGAACAAAGCGTTGGTTTGAGATGTCGAGAAGGGCATTGGCTAATAGGAGGCGCTCTGCCTCAATCAAGCTCACCGTCCCCCATTTTACTTTCTGCAATCAAGATGATGATCAGAATTAGCATTCTAGTGTACTCAATTGCATACATTGATGAACTTTGCTCACGCTATGAATAAATGCGTCTTAATAAAGTGTTTCCTATGAGCATTCTAATTTGCAGATAATGGGAATTGAGCAAAGCACTGACCAGATCACTGGGAATTCTTCGGCCATGGAAAACCGAACTTCCGGCGTAAGACGGCTGATTGTGGGACGGCTCTGAGTGCACATAGATTGAGTAAAAACCTTGATGCCCTTCAAAGAACTTCTCCCATAATGGGGCCAAAAGAACAGGTCCCCTTGCCAAGAACATGAAAGCAATTTTGGGAATTAGATGGAATGGATATTCAGGGATCCTAGGAGACATCGAAGCTCTCCAAAGCAATTCTGTATCGTTCATGTCGTGAAAAACCTTGAGCGGCTTTAGATATTCCGTCAACCCAATGCGGTGGTCGGGTGTGAGGATCATACTGGTTGTTGGGGCTGTTGCATTCGGCATAATTAGAATCTGTGAATGATTGGATGGAGGGGGAGATGACAAAGTTGAGAAGGGGGATTGGGCAAATTGCAGACCAAATGAAAAGTCCTTGAGATTGACAATAACAACTCCAAGGGTTAAACCGCCCACAAAGAGCAGGACATAAGAAAGGAGATTGAGGAGGTGGCGTTGGACATTGAAGACTTTGGGAAAAACGCTTCCTGGGTTTGGATCTTGAGCCTTCATTTTTCCCAAGAAACTTTGGGATATGAATTGAAAGACAAGATCAAATCAGAGAAATATGAAAGACAAGCATATCACATATCATATGTGATGAGAGAAAGAGATGAGAGTTGAGAGAGTGGTGGCTTAAAACTATTTGCTGAGATTTGGGGTATGCATGCTGATGCTGGTGGTGATGACTTTGTAACTAAACGTAACCATGGGGTAAGGTCAAAGAGTGCTCTCCATTTAGGCCCTGTCTACACTCTGCAATAAGAATTAGAGTATTTTTCAGTTTATCTTTGTATTTAACGTAAATAATGTACGTAACCCTTTGTGTCAAATCCACAGTACAGATAACAAAATTCCATTTTTGAAGGTAAATACAATGCTTTATTTTAAAGTCAAAGAGTATTCTTTTCTCCACCGGAAAACAAAAACAAAGAGTTGAAGTCATTTTCAGTAACACTTCTTTTTCCTCGACCCAGAATTTCTTTTTGGTGAAATGACTCTTCATTGCAGAGAAAGAACAGGGATTTATTACCTTTTTCAATGACATAAAATCTAGAGAAAACTGGAAAATAAAAATAACAAATATTTATTACCTTAGTCCATTGGTTTCATTTCTAAAGAAAATTCATTACCTTAGTCATCCTAATATTTTTTTTAATGCACAATTATAGCCTAATTTTTTGGTTACAATTGTAGCCTAATTTCGCTTTTTTTATATTTTTTTATTCTCTTTGGTTGCAATTAAAAAAGGAACGTCTTTGTATTTTTTAAATAAATTCAATTTCTAGGGGTTTAAACAAAGAATAATACTTGAAAGAATAAATGCTATGTATTTGGGTTTGTTTTCCCCCAAAAGAACAAATCAAACCAAAAAAAAAAAAACACTAACAATACTGGGCCTGGGACATATATCTCAAGCCCATTATGGAATTACCAGAAATAATATATAATAATAAAGTGACGAAGTTGAAAAGAAAAAAGCTTGTAATAAATTTTCATTTTATACCCTACAGTCTACACTTGATCGATCCAAAAATGAATAAATTAACCCATGGATTTCTTTTTTTCTTCTTTTTTTTTTATCTGTTGAAGCGCATGAGCTTTGGAGCAAACCTCAGCAGCCTTTCCAAAGTATCAGGACCAAACTTCCTAGCAAACAAGAAACAAACGTTGGTGCTCTTTCCATTATATACACACGCAGTCCCATTCCTCAATCTACTCAAAACCTCAACGGTGACATCAGTTCTTGTGAACTTGGCAGGGTGGGGGCCACCCCTGGACCAGTCAACCCAGGTCAAACTCCTATTCGAATTCTTTGCCCCAAAGTTGATGTTCGCAAATGTTGGCAGATAATGCTCGTCTGCATAGCATGAGCCCCTGCAGTACTTTTGGAAAGCTGGGAAGTATTTTTTATCTGAGACAATATCAATGGCATGGCGTCTGTGCATCTCAAACCACTGTGATCCTTTCCTCCATTGGCTCAATGAGATTTTTGGGTACATATGGGAATTATACCGGCCCCGTCCGACAGAGCTTGGATCATCATAGACCTGTACAAAACTTTCGCGGGAGTGTACGAGGTAAGAGTAGACAGTGGAGAAGTTGTGGAGGGGGATGCAGGATTCTGAGAGCAGAACAAAACGTTCGTTTGAGATGTCAAGAAGAGCATTTGCCAATAGGCGGCGCTCGGCCTCAATCATGTTGACATTTCCCCATCCTACTTCCTGCATTTCAATTAAATGAAGATGTGATCAGATAAAGATGGTCAGAGTATTGTTTAACCCATCAAATTCTGCAACATGGTTTCATATAACAATGTCATTTCGTGATTGATAGCCATCAAATCATTAAAGAAAAGAATCATTGGGTTCCACCTAATGTGGAAATTATTGTGACAATTAGTGCAGGTTATCCATCACATCAAGTGATTATTTAAGAGCATCGTGATGATTTGAAGGCTATCTGATAGTTCATGAACCAGTGATTTGAGATGCTTTAAGTAGGTAGTTTGTCTAAACAGAGCAGATACCCTGTTAAGCACTTCATCTTTCTGCCAGCAAGCATTGTAGTTGAAACTTTTTAGTCATTCAACTTCACAATAGATCTTCTCCCTCCCTCACATTGTCACTGTTTAATGGACACTTTCCCCTGCCCCTTTCGAAACTACTTTTCCCTCCAAATTTATGCTTTTTTGCAAGTGAACACATTCAGGTAGTAACTCTAAAGAATGCAGATCACCTAACCTCAATTCTATAATCTGTGTTATAAAATGAATTTCAAGTTCAAACAAATCACCAATGAAGTAAATTTATGCAGACATTGCAAAGTAAGCAAGAGACTAACCCGGCTAGGAATTCTCCTGTCACGGAAAACAGGACTTTCGGGGTATGATCCATTGTAAGATGGATTTGAGTGCACATAAATTGAGTACAAGCCCTGATGCCCTTTGAAGAACTTCTCCCAGAGTGGGGCCAGCAGAACAGGACCCTTCGTCAAGAACATGAAAGCAACCTTGGGAACTCGACGGAATGGATACTCAGTAATCCGAGGAATCATCGAAGCTCTCCATAGCAATTCTTGGTCGTCCATGTCGTGTAGAACATTAGGCGGCTTTAGATATTCCTTCAATCCTATGTGAGGCTTGGTCCCATTGGCTTCGAAGGCTTTTACATTTGGCATTAGGGTATGTTGATTGGATGGAGATTGTGAGGTTGAGAAGGAGAATTGGGCTAATTGCAAACTAATTGAAATGTCTTTCATATAAAAGCTAAGTACCATTCCAAGGGTTAAACCACCACCAAATAGCAGGAAATAGAAGAGGAGTTTGAGGATGTGGAGTTGGGCATTGAAGAGTTTTGAAAACAAGTTTAATGGGTTTTGATTCTGACCCTTCATTGTAGATGAGAGAATATTATAATAATAAATATTTACAGGGAACTTGAATGGGTTCTCCTATGCAGAGAAGCTCAATCCTTCTCCGAGTTTATTGAGAAGAAGAAGCCAAATAAAAAGTCTGGGATATCAAGATTGGCAAAGACCAAGTTCGTTTGGAAGGTTTGGGAATTAAGGAAAACGAAATATCTATCTATATACGCCTTCTGCACACATATATAGCAAAATATCCTTTTCTGGTCAAATATCCATGTAGAGACTTAGAACAAATACGCAGGCCGGTGTGGGATCGTTAAAAAAACAAAGAACCAAATCTAATGAAATCTGAAACACAAGCAAATCACTTTGAACTAACCCGGAATTGGAAACAGAAAAAGATATTCGTACCAGGACTTGTAGTGCGAAGCAAAGAGAGATGAAGACCACTGGAGAAGTCAAGAAATAAATAAAAAAAATGGAGGGGAAAGTGTTATAAGCAAAGGGAAAAGAAAGCGTGGTTGAAGAAGGGTCTTTTTCTGACTTTAAATTGGTGTGGTGAAGGCTGGTAACCTATACGGCCATACAGATGCTGCCGATTACTTTGGAGCTACACAAATGGGGTAGAGGCACAACTCTCCCTTTTCGATCTGTCCACAACACGGATTAGAGTTTCAGTTTTACTTTGTATTTAAGGTAAATGTAACGCTTATGTTTTCAAAACATTTCTTTTAGGACCCACAAGTTAGTTTTGGCGAAATTGACTCTTTACTGCAGTGAAGAAACGAAGATTAAAACCCCAAAAAGAAAATTGTTTGTAGAAATTAATTACCTTTGAAACGACGCGGGCCTACGTTATCTATGTGCTTGGACTTTCAACTTTATGTTACCAAATTAAAAGCCGCCAATTAATGGTAATGAATAATAAATAATAATGATATTATAGAACGTGTGAAAAACGTAGCTTCCATTTTTGTGACACGTTTTCATTCGGACCATTCAAAAGCTGTGTGACATCGTCAAAACGCCGCCGCTAGGACTATGCATGGCCTAACTCTCTCCTTCCATGCAAATGCAATCACAAGAATCTTCTGTTGAAAATCAAGGCGACAGCAGAAGCATTCGCATGTTGTGTTCATCTCCCAACCCAAGTAATTGACGCCTAATTTGGAAAATTCAATCAGTCATTTTTATTCTCTTTAATTTATTATTTCATGAAAATCCATTGAGAAGAAAGCAGGAAAGTTGAAGACTTTAGAAGGAAAGAAGCACCAATAATTATTTCCTAATCTTGAAAGAGATACTGTTAATGGGTTCAATTCGCTTATGATTACTTTACTGATTGAAAGGAGTTTGGCTCGTTTCCATATCAACAAACTAAACATTATGATAATTTTTTCTTTTTGTTTCAACTTTCAATACGGTAAGAAAATCCTACACATAACAAAGTTTTCAAGCTCGTAATGACTCTTTACTCGTGTTTCTTGCAGTGATTTTCGCTGTCACTAAACTCATGTTATGATGTTAATTGTTTCGGTTTTAACCAAATTATAAGGATTAATTAATATCTCAATCCCCTTATTTTAGGTACAAATTATATAAGAGAAATTAAAACTGTGCATAAAATTAACGGAGCATGCCAGCGAGCGGTTGTGTTCATTTTCACTCCCAAAAAATGTTGTGTTTTTTTTTTTTTCTTTTCTCAACACATAATCATAAGCATAATTTGCGGACTTGACTTATTCAATACCAGAAAAAAAGGGAAAAAAACGGACAGCAAAGGAAAAGAACAATACAAAAGATTAAGACAATCATATGGGTTACTTTTGGACTGAAAAACAAAAACCAAAAAACTACTTTGTTGAACTTACACGAACGTTGTCACTTCCAATCTGAGATTGAAGGTAAAATGTGGTGTCGTGGTCCAAAAGGGAACAGATAAAAGACAAAGTCTTGTCCAATATGGTGGCTTATTAATAGCACACAGGACTTCAAATAAAGCCTCCCCCCTTGATGAGAATCGTTGCCAAACAAGAGGCTGAATGCACTGAAAGGGAAGGCTTTCTGCCAGTCAAACTCACCACCTGTCTTTGCTTTGATTGAGGATGAGGTTCTAGTCTTCTCGTCAATAGCTGCTCCACCTGGTTTAACCCAGTTGCTACTTTTCATTCCCCACAGTGCAGGGTATGGCTGACGTGAGTTGGTTAAGGCAGTAAGTGCCTCCTCCTGCACTTAGGTTCGAATCCCTTCTTCGTAAATTGGATTGATTTATGGTAGTTTAGTCTTTCGCTTGTATCAACAAAAATAGAAAATGCAAAATTCCTTGACGTCCAATAGACCAACCAAGGTCATAGTTTATACAAATGGGAACATTAACTGGACTGGGATGAAATTTCATGTTAACTAGACCAACCAAACGTCAAACTAATTATAATGAGCAGGCTCGATCTTTAGGTGTTAAATCCAAACAGAGCTGGAGCTATTTTTAGTAAAGGCTCCAGTGTACTTGGATGAAACTTTCTAGCAAACAGGTGGCAAATGGAGCTCATGCCACCATTGTAAGTACAATTAAATCCATGTCTTAACCGAATCAGAAAGTTTTCCGTCACATCTTTCCTCACAAACGTTGTTGGGTGCGGACCACCAGTTGACCAATCGACCCAGGTAATGGTACTGTTTGAGTTCACCCAGGACCAACTTTGGTCACAAGAGTTGCCAAGTAGTGCTCATCTGTGTAGCAGGGAGGCAGGCAAAAGTCCTTAAATACAGGGTAGTATGTGGGATCGGAAACTATCTCTATGGCAAGCTTTCTGTGAACTTCAAACCACTGAGAGCCCTTACGCCAATCTGATAATGTCACGGTTGGCCACATTTGCTTGTTGTAACGTCCACGACCAACGTTTCTTGGATCATCAAATGAGCTAACAAAACTGTGGTTGGAGTTGACGAGGTGGCTGTAGACTCTGGTAAAGTTAAACAGAGGAATGCATGATTCAGAGAGCAATACAAATCTCTCATTTGAAAAATCGAGTAAGGCATTGCCTAATAGGCGCCTCTCAGCATCAACCATTGTTGGCTTTCCCCATTCAACTGCCTGCAGATCAGTACAATTTGAAGAACTTAATGAATTTTGCATATGCATGCCAAATCCCACTAAACTGTTTTCATTGTTAGTTGGGTTCTTGTAATAAACCGAAATGTGTATTGGTAAGATTGCTATCTATAAAGTTCTAACCTGGCTTGGTATCTTACGCTTGTAAAACACTGATGATTCTGGTGGCTCATTCTTGAAGTCTGGTGCTGCATGGAGATAAACTGAGTAGAAGCCATCATGCCCCTTGAAAAAACTTTCCCAAAGTGGTGCGAATGGCAATCGTCCCTTTGTTAGGAACATAAATGCCACCTTTGGTGTTCGATTATAGGGGTATTCGACAATGCGTGGCATCATTGAAGCTTGCCAAAAGAGCTCCTCATCACTCATAGAATGCCATAGCTCCTTGGGAGCTGTGTAATCTTTCAATAGTAGTCCTCTTGGATTTGAAAAACTAAGAGGCAGTAAATGAGAAGACAGAGAAAAGTTGCACTGACAATGTGTAGAGGGAGGCCAAGGAGACACTGAGGGAAATGTCTTCAGCTGAGGGAATAAGTCATCTGAGGTTAAGAATTTCCTGGTTCGATCATTTATGAACATCCCGAGAACAAAAATGAAAAATAACATTGACAAAGAGAAGATGATGAGGGTTTTGACATGAAAATGGCCACCGGAAAGCTCTTTAACAACAACAGTGAGCTTACCCTGCTTCATCTGAGATTGTGTTTGTGTGTTCTGGTTTGTGCGTTTAATAACTTAAAACAAGAAGCCAGATGATTATATAGTCCATGTATGTGAAATGATGGGTGAGGAGATTGTGTGTTCCATGCTACCAAGTGAGAAAAAGTAGGTGCTTGAGAAATGGGTAGGCCGAAAAGGCTTAAACGTTTTGATTAGAGAGGCGATAGCACATGAGAATCGCCATCACAACCCTGAAAACGTTAAGATTCTAGGAGAACACAGGGCACAGTTCATCAATATCTTGTGTTGACTCAAAGTTTCCTTCAGAAGGACAGGTATTCTGGGCGTTATTTCGAAGGGGCATATACACCACCCATTGAATTGAAGTATTTGTGTTTTAGTTTTATTTTTCCAATTTTCTTTGAAACTAGAAACGAGAGACCTTCAACCAGGACCATCTGAGCCTTTGTTGGGAATGGAGGAGAGGTTTTTTTTTATTTTTCTTTTCTTTTCTTTGAGGGTAGGAAAAGGGTTTAGGGAATGCGCAATTGACGAAACAACTGAAAGGAATGATATCGTTACTTTTCATTTTAACTATTATATAATCTTGTTACTAGAAAAAAGCGCAAGGATCTTGTTTTGTTCGGCTGCCTGAAGCCTTGAAGAAAAACTTCCACCGGACAAGTCTATAGTGTCCATCTCGCTCATCACGTGACCACGGCAAGAGTCTCGGGTCTTTGGTGCCTGACTTTGAGGAAATGTCACTTACACCAAACAATAAAATAAAATACAAGTTGTGCAATTTTGACAGTTCGCATTTATTTTTTATAATATATTAACACAATTCCAGCCTGTTCCTGGGAATTGATCCTGGCAATTACCCCCAAGAAAATCTTACTTGGAACTAAACCTGTTTTTAAAGGAGTACAACAGGGCGAAGCTAGCCACCGCCCCTGCAACAAGAAACTGAGATATCCTAGGCTTCGTACAATATAACCGGACACCACAACTAAAGTATGCCCAAATCCATAGAGAGAAGAAACGCAGCCCACAAGTTTTTCGGAACTTCTGAATCAAAAATTCCTGCATGGAGTAATTCAGCAAGCTTAATTAAGCCCCGCTCTAATTCATACTCAAAACGTTGCAAGAACTGTTTTGCTCTCCAATGCTAATTCGAGGATTCAATTAAGTTGCAAATGGAGCTATATTTGACGAACTTGTAAATGGTGTTATATCAAAATAATCAAATATGATTTCGAGCAACAAATGCAAGGAAAGTGATCCAACCTAAAGGTAGTTTGTGAATGGGTCAAAGAGAGAGCAGCTTCCTCACTTGGGCCCATAATTTACCCACCTTATCAGAGAGTTCATCAATACTGTGATAGAAAGTTTCTAAATGGAATCCCTGCACACCTTAAATGGAATTGTTTGAATTTGAATTTAATATGTATATGCTTGCAGCTCAATTTGGATGGGAACTGCCTACATGTACGCTAATTTGCATTGATATAGGACTAATGAAGAGATTATGTCATGAAACCTGGAAATTTTTACCTTTGGTAGCTTATCTTGCTGGGCTAAATGATCCACATGAAGTCTCACATTTGATGCTGCAAAAATCCAAACGCTAGGATCAACCTCCGAATATACATTTGCAACTATGTCAAACAATGTTTCTGCTCCATTTTCTATCGCTTTCAAGATGGAACTTTCTCTAGCTCTGCGGTTCCTGAAAGATAAGACTCCTCTGTCTGAATACATCTAATATTGTGCTATGATAATCCTTTTTTGAATTAGTTTTGGGCCAATAACACACAAAACCGGAAGGGGAGAGAGAGAGGGTGAGAGATTTCTGTTTCATACTTGAGATATCCGCAAAGCATGTGTTTTGGCCATAGGTTAACTCTCCCATGCATGGGAACCAAAGCATGTGGAGCAAGCTCCATAAATTTGTAAGTTGATTGAAAGTAATCCTGCATAACCACCGTATCATGGGGTAAACCATTAATCTTTATCTCCGCTTTATCATCCAATCATTAATCGATTCTCATCCAATAGGCTAGGAAAACAATTGAAGTAATAATATACCATAAAGAGGACTTAATGAACTTACAGTCATATTTCCCCCGGAAGTAACATCCAGTACAGCACTACCTTGACTGAAACAAACCAAAGTTGCTTTTAGAAGAGCCGTCCCAGCAGGTAAACAAGTCAGACCTATAATAAAACCTAATTTTGAGAATAAAAACTGAAAACAGATGAGGAAAGATGGAAAGATGACAATCCCTCAGATTAGCAGTGTTATTCTACTTCTTATTTAAGGGAGAAGGTAAGGGAAGGGGGAAGGTAGATGGAGGAGGGAGAGGCAAGAAGTCATTGCAAAGCTCTATACAAACTGTTCACAAGGATGTTTATTTCATTTTAAGCCTAGACAACGCCAGGAACGCAAACAAGAAGGCATAAGAGGGAAAAACAATAAATTCTATAAATTTTTCTTCCCTTTTTTGAGCCTAAAGCACGGGCCTAATTCATAATCTAACACAAAATTTACAACACCGGAGGAAAAAAAAAAAACTAGTTAATCATCTAGTCGATATATTATTTATGCTCGTTTTCCTATTAACTTATCCTATCTGTAACTATTCTACTATTCTATTGTTTTTATTCTCCTCAGAATTTCCACATACACACGATCAACTAAGCCTGTGCAATGAAGCATAGTTTGATGCAAGTTGAAGCATTACTCCCGTAAATTCATACTCTTTTCGAAGAAATCTTTAGGCTACCTAAGTTTGTTTTCTTCTTCTACTTGTTTTTGTTTTTATTTTTCACAACATAATAGAATATAGTCTTTACTCAGATTCTGCAAATCAAATCATAGGTGAGGGTGCTCATAGAGTCATAGCAAAGCAGAATTGTCTTCCATCTTACCCCACACAATGATCACCGACAATCAATGAGTGAGTACTGGCATGAAGCAGTCCCATATGACCATCTGTATGTCCCTGAATTAAAAGAATTGTTTATTTTAAAAACTACATATAGAGAATCAGGTTGCATATCAGACTAATATTTATTAGTCATAAATATGAAACTGAAACCTTCATTATGATTTTTCTGAAGAAAGCAAAAGTCCTTGCTGCTAATGTTATAGCGAGAATATCACAGTTACTGAACAGATAGTTCGAATCATGGAAAAATAATAAGCCTACAAATATCTGAAAACAACTGAGGTTTTACTAGTTCAAATCAAAGATTGAACTTTGTAGATAGAGGAAAAGGAATGTGGTATGGTTCCCTTTGCTATATTGCAATTGATGTCATAAATATAATTTTTTTAATAAGAAAGTCAAGTGAGAAATACCGGAGAAAAAAGGGCAATCAGTCGCTGACCTCCAATGCAAATCTCTTCAGCTCCAGAAATTGCAGTAAAACCAAGAGACCAGTCATCTGTCATCATATGACAAACAGATTAGGAAGTAGAAGCTTAGAAGCAGAATATGACCCAATATATTAATTAGCAACTCATATCCCTAGATCCCCAAACAGGATCCCTCTTCCATCTTACTAAAAGACTACCAGTCATTCTATTTTTCTTAAAATTTAACGACGTCCTTGATATACAATCCGAAAGTGTACAAGGGGACAGTAACACTAGGATATCAAGGGCTAGGAAGTAAAGTCATATCCTCTTCATCTAGAGTTAGTTTCCAATTAAACCTCATTTAAAAATCAGATGAAGCAGTGTAGTGCAATCACATAATTGTGCTAAGATCTTTATCCCTAGGTTTCACAGTCACTAGAAACGCAAAATGTTACAATCACAACCTTTTCCAATGCGTCGCATGGTATTTTCATGTGCTAATAAAGTAGCATCAGGGTTGCAACGTTGAACAACTGAAAGACCTGGGAAAGTAAAAAAGACCAAATGTCTACACATCAATTTAGTTTGACCAAACACAAAAATAATATAAGAAGATGGCTTATTAGAAGTTTTGCTAGTTTTACGAAAACTTACCATCCACATGATCGTGATGATGATGAGTAACAAATACAACTAACTTTCTCGGCAAAGAAGCTACAATTTGTGCGAGCTGATCATAAATTATAAGGAAAAAACTAGTTATCAGGTTTCCAAGGAAAAAAGAGTCGAGCATGCAATAATAAAAACTGAGCACACTATCTACGGTATGAGTAACAGTATAAGTTGAAAAATAATTTATCCTGAAAGATTGAGAGTCCTTTATAAGAGCAAACTAACACGTCATACCTCTTCATGAAATTCAGACCGGCACCCAGGATCCACTATCAATGCATCTCCAGAAGCAATAAAACCATTCTTCTCAGAGTCATTAGAAGCATTTTGAGGTGCAAAAACAACCAGGTTTGTCGTATAAAAAGGTTTTCCCGTCTTGCTTCCCATCGGTACAAGCACAACACCAGGAGGGTACTCCTGAAATTGAGAATGAATATTTACTCTGCAAAAACGTGATAATACGGTGTATATAATGGCAATAAAGAATGAGCCTTATTGTAGTAGACGCAATTCACAGCAAACCTGGTAAGATAAGGTGGATGGGATTTTCAACTCTCTTGATTGCACAAACTCGTTTAGAAGACCAGCAACTATCAAAGGCCCCACACGATCATTGCCTGGTTTCACTTCAAGAAGCCAGTTTAAACAGCTTGGGACAGACAGCCATTTACACGACTCTGCATGTGTGTACGTTTATATAAGTCGCATATATCTCACTAAAATAACATATTTATTCCAATTTGAATTGCCTGATGAGTTTAATGTACGTGAAGAAAAACAAATAAATGCTAAAGTGACAATGAGCATACCTGGTAAATTTGGATGCGAAGCTACCAATTTCCCCCTAACAAAAACCGAATTCATAGGCGGCCCAGGTCCAAATTGAGCTTCCTCCACATACTTCAACAAGCTCCAATCTCCAACATCAGCTGCCTTAAACCCTACTTGTTCCAGAACCTATTAAAGCAATACATATAAGTAATAATAAAACCACCCCAATCAAATTCTGCAATTCAACAATAAAATTCTCAACTACCCGATTGAGAGCCGAATCCACATCGAATTTTTTCAGCTCGATCTTCCCTGGCCATGATTCTGCGCCTCCCACTGCAATTGAGGGCTCCGATATGCCTTCTAGAAGGTTCAATTGCGTGGAGGGTAAGTCCCAGAGGTCGGAATCCACGTACGAGTCGTACTCTTCGTCGTTGAATTTCGGGGGTCGCGTCTGTTTCACGAGGAGATATTCGGCGTCGTTTAGAGGGTTCTCGAGAATCAAAGCGAGCTTATGATGCACCGCCATTATTGAGATTCGAACAAAATGAGATGGAAATGTTGAAGAAGGAAAAGAGGGAAGGGCAAGGGTTTTCAATTTGGAGGTAGTTGCACCAAACCCCGGTTTACTGGGTTTTAGAGTGAGGGTTTTGGATCGACTGAGGTTGTTGAAGTAGGTGATGCTGGAAGAGATACTTTGATTTGACCGTTAATGGAGGTTTTGGACGTTTAGGTAGCCGTTGGTGTTGCAAGAATAAGAAGTCAAAAGGGGCGGAGCTTGTGTTAATTAGATAGGCCCACTTATGTGTTGGGCCAATAATTGGGCTTTATCCACCCCACTTTGTATTGACCTTTTAGTAATAATAAGCCTCCTCATTTCAAATGGCCTCTTCTTCTTTTTTTGTCTAAATTTCAAATAGCCTCCTTGGGTTAGAATGAAAAAAGGAAAAAAATAAATCATCATGATAGACTATAGAGTAAGAACATTGTTTGGCTCCTTGTAGATAATGAGTCAATTCTTCATTATATGTCAAATATGTTGACTCATCAATAGCATTAAAAAAAACTTTTGTATAATGCGATTTACCTGTGAGAAGTCAGTTATTGTTCGAAGAGTAATGCGTTATTTTATTTTATAAAAGCAATCACATGGCATGGTGGTTGGGGATGAGGAGAATGGTGTATGAGTGTTGTTGCACCCAACCAACAAGATAACAAGAAACATTTGGGGCAATGTCATGATGGACGTTGAATGAAATGTCCAAGGGTGAGAGCACGATGTGATTGTATTGGAGACTGGAAATTATCTTCAATGGTGGGTTGGGTTGGGCTATTAAAGTAACATAAATGTGGATGCGTGTGTAGTGATCTTCTTATCGGCTTTCCTTAATTGTCACTTTGAAGATTAAGTTGAAGGAGGAACAGGGTTTCAATTCAAAGAGTAAGCGAACAGACCTACAGTTACTTTATATACTGCAGACAATGTCTTTTGCCACTAGAAAAACGGCTACTTTTGCACACGATGAAGGACACACGACAACAGGCACATATGAATGATCATGTCCAAAAGCTTCTTCCAAGTTCCACTAACCCTAAATTTGAGTCGTGACTGTATATTTACTAAAAGGGCAGACGTGGATGGCATTGGAGGGTTGTATATATATAGGTACCGTATATATTAATAATATTGCATTGGAGGGTATGAATAATATTGCATTGGAGGGTTGTATATGCGCTGCCGGTAGGAAGTGTAGTGGACCTATGCATTATTGAAATTTGAAAGAAAGGTCAATCTCTTAAGTTAACCCTGTCCTAAGCACTAATGAAAGCACTGGGAATATTCTGCAATCTGCATATAAATACGCTCACTTACTTATCAGTTTTATGATCACAACTTTAATAATTAGTCTTCATCAATATTTATTCACAGGAGATTCAAAGCACCAAGACGTAAAATAAGGATATGCTTTTCTGTCTTCTTTTTGTTTTGAGAATTTTATATAAATGAAAGTGAGACCAAGCGCTTTACAATCTAATTGCAGATTTCTCGCGGTATTGGTTTTGGTGGGTTATCCAATATCCGCACTCACACTAGTTATATAATTGAAGACTGTGTGGCAAACATAAGCATTACACACGCTCAAACAGAATTATTATTTGGGATTTTTATATATAATCCTCCATTCCACTCAAGCAATTGATTGGTGTACATGGAATGAAACCAACTTGTGTTCACTTCAGATTATTAATTATAATTACGCGCGTTCATCATTAGGTTGAGGTTGGCCACCTTGGGTGATTAATGATTATGATCTTATCTCGGTAGTTTTATTTCTGAATATCCCTTCATAATATGTTCCTTGTTTATTGATGCCAAAAAAAAGCCGCCAAATTAAGGAAAATAGTTAATATATATATATATATATATATATAAATAATTAAGCAGAATAAAAACTTTGCGAATCTCACTTGGCCCAAGTCAAAGGCAAAGTTGGTGGGTGGGGAAAGGTATATCTATTGCCCTGTCTGGATATAAACATTCCCAGAGCCCGCCCACCCTAGCAAGGTGGAACAACACGTACCGTTACGTAAGCGCGGGTTTAAAGAATGGATTTGAAGTTCTTAAAACCCTAATAACATATATAAGATTAATATCCCTGTTCCTCAACAACCATGCAAAGACAGACTGATCATCGTGTGTTTGTGGGGGAATATTATTGACCTTCCAAAAAATATACTAAATAACTGCATGCATGCTTAGACCTAAAAATATAAATTACATATGGTGTATAGTATAGGGTGGTGATGAATTTGGATACCCATTTCATTTGGCCTGCATTATTGGCCACTATCTCTCTGGTGGTGAACCTGCTTCCTCCATTGTCTAGTTTTTGACCAGTTGCATGCCCAACGACACGTCGTACGTACGTGCATTATATTCTTCCTTCAAACTCTGTTCCGTTGCTGTGTTGCGTACAAAGTTTCGTGAGGCATCTATGTAAACCACTGCACGCCACAGTCCGGCCCTATATAACAATTGGGTCCAACCAGAGAGACTAAAACTAGCTAATAATTAGTCACACACGATGACATTAACATAAATGTCATCTTCTATCGGTGGCCATAAAGGCTATAGTAATTTTGGAATCTCCAAAGCTGGGGGAGAAAGAAGAATATCTAATCTGGATATGGAACTTGCGACCACGGGCATATCACGTGCCACCCAAAGATTGGCACATCCTTTACGTCCGTTTCATTTTCGTGTACTCCAAACATCGAAAGGAGCCAGCTTTCATACGTTGCCATATTGACTTTACAGACAGTACAGATGTAAACAAATTAATACGTATGTTTATAAAGGAAACGATAATGAAAATGCCAACTTTGTGTCCATTCACTCTTGGAACCTTATTCCTTGTTATACCTCCCCCGATGTATTTTACCAAACATTTTGTCTCATGTTATATTTAAGTAAATTTAGGTTTTAGCCAAAAAAAAAATTTCACTTTTGGAAAAAGCCAAAGCTTTTTGAAAAAAGACAAAAAAACCTCTCAACTTTCAAATCAAAAACATGCAAATGTAAAGTATTCCTTAGGAAATCCAAAATTAAATAAGGGTAATTTTGTCTATTTTTGCTTATTTTACAAAATTTCTCTTTCTTTTATGTTTTTCCAAAGTCATATTTAATAAGAATGTCACATGTAGCAAATTTCTCATGAGAAGAGCTACAACTAATTAAAAAGTGTATTAAAACCCAAAAGTAGTAGGGTAACCTTTCTTCTTATCCAACTTTACTTTTGGTAGCACCACCATGAGGAAACAATGAAGTGACTGGAGATGGAAGTGGAAATCCTTTCGTAACATGGTTAAGAAAAAGTTCAAATGTAAAAATGTAAAAATTATAACTTTGGATAATAACTCTATCCTCCTGAGAAAACTTTCATTTCTGCTTGTCACCATCATTCGTCACTTATTCCGCTAAAGGTCCACCTCGGCTACCTGATTCTACCCTTACGCAGTGGATGCTTACGTGCTAAAAACGACAAAACCAAACAGTCCAAAAACGCCGTGGTGGTGGGCTTCTCACGCGTGGAGGGCACGTGTACTATATATTATTGTCCTACCGAAAACTATTTTACTGGTCACCAAAAATATTATTTTTTAAATTTTTTAAAGAAGTCCAAACAAAGTATAGGGTCGTTTCGCTTTGTACAGCGTGGCCAGTTTGCGACACGTGGACAACTACAAAATGTCCCCTCCCTTATCTATATTGCAAAAGCATTGAAACGTTCTCGTGCTTTTTGCCCGCTCCGTTCTCCTTTGCAGCACAATTAGAATTCAGCAACACACATCCAACAACATACAACAAACAACCACAGAAGAACGAGCGCGCGTGTATGTCTGCATTCTGGCCAACAACACCAGATTGCTCAAATCTTGCACCATAGGCAACCTTAGGGTTTTTGGAAATCTGAATCTGCAATCACATTCCCAATTCATGACGTTTCGCTTTCTATAAATGGCGGCACCATTTCCTGGCGGTGGAGGAGGAGGCGTGGCGGTAATGGCTGGGCCTCTGACGCCGCTCGATCCCTCGCCTTCCAAGACTTGCTTGAAGAATTCGGCGCTCAAGTCTCCAATTCTCATCTTCTTGCTGTTTCACAAAGCTATTCGCTCCGAGCTCGATGGCCTCCACCGAGCCGCCATGGCCTTCGCCACTAGCCAAGCCCCTTCCGCCGACATCGAGCCCTTGTTAGAGCGCTACCACTTCCTTCGCGCTATTTATAAGCACCACTGCAATGCCGAGGACGAGGTGTGTTTCTGGTTTCACTCTGCTCTGCGGCATTGTAGCTGTAACATTCCAGTTGTTTCAAATTTCAGAGAATTTGATGATTAGTATTCGTTTATTACGCTATAATACGATTGTTTTGAATTTTTTATATCGTTTAACTATTCACTTACATTAAATGAGGGTGATGCTTTGCTTTCTCAATTTTGAGGCTGTAAATTATGCACAATTTATGGATTGGGCTTTGCAGGTCATATTTCCAGCTCTAGATATACGCGTGAAGAATGTAGCTCGAACTTATTCTCTTGAACACGAGGGAGAGAGTGTTCTTTTTGATCAATTGTTTGAGCTTCTAAATTCCAATATGCAAAATGAGGAGAGCTACCGGAGAGAGTTGGCTTCTTGCACTGGAGCCCTTCAAACATCAATTAGCCAGCATATGTCCAAGGAAGAGGAACAGGTATTTGTTTCACCTACTCATGCATTGCTAATTTTACATGATTATCAGCAGTTCTAACGAATGATGAGCTTTTCAGTGGATATTCGTTTATTTCCCCAATTGCTCTTCAAATCGATTCTTCAGTGGGAGTTCAGTGTTCTGGGTTAAGCTTGTTATTTTGAATTTGGCAGGTCTTCCCGTTGCTTATTGAGAAGTTTACATTTGAAGAGCAAGCTTCCTTGGTGTGGCAGTTTCTGTGCAGTATTCCTGTTAACATGATGGCAGAATTTCTTCCGTGGCTCTCTTCTTCCATATCATCTGATGAACATCAGGATATGCGCAAGTACTTGAGCAAGGTGATACCAGAAGAGAAGCTTCTGCAGCAGGTGAGGGTTGCTTTTCATGGCATATTGTTTTAGGATGGTTACTTGGAAAAAGAAAAATATACGTTACACTGACTTCAAGTTTTATGATACGAAGGTTGTATTTGCCTGGATGGAAGGG